CATACTCATATGATCTGATCCCAAGCCCTCTTCTTTCCATTATGTTTTTTTTTTTTTTTTTTGCTGTTATTTCACTAATGTATATATCTTCAGTTAGATGGTAAACTCTCTGAAGAAAGGAACCTTGTCTGAGACATTCCATGCCTTTCATTGTATATGGCATGATACTTTGCACATAGTTATGAACTGATTTATGATATACCAAGGTAGAAAACTAACTATATAAGGCTGGGTGTGGTGGCTCACGCCTGTAATCTAAGCATTTTGGGAGGCCAAGGCGGGCAGATGGCTTGAGCTCCAGAGTTCAAGACCATCCTGGGCAACATGGTGAAACCCTGTCTCTACCAAAAATACAAAAACTTAGCAGGCTTGATGGCACATGTCTATGGTCTCAGCTACTTGGGAGGCTGAGGTGGGAGGATCGCTTAAGCCCTGGGGACAGATGTTGCAGCAAGCTAAGATTGTGCCACTGCACTCCAGCCTGGGTGACAGAGTGAGACTCCATCTCAAAAAATAAAGAAAACTAATTATATAAGATGACTAGTATATATTATTACAGAAATTGAGACACTGAAGATTTGTAATATTAGGCTTCAGAAAAGCATGTTGGAGGCAGGACAGCATAGTGGTTAAGCACATGAGCTCTACATAGGTTCCAATCCTGGCTCTGCCCATTAATATTTATACGACTTTGGGCAAGTTATCTAATCTCTTTGTACCTTCGTTTCTTTCTTGGTAAAAGGAAAATAACAGCAACAGTAACAATACCCATTGCATAAGGTTGCTGTAAGAATTGGGTGAATTAATATTAATAGCTGTGATGCATTTAGAATGAGGTCTAGCACTTAATAATCCTTACTGTTGCTGCTACTATTCTTTGGTGGTTATAGAGAATTTCCTGGAGGACTCCTGTTGATGCTGGCAGCCCAATGAGGTAGAAAAGTATCCCACAGGATGAGAGGCCAGTTACAAAATGCTGGCTTTCAGGATCTCAGTTACATGGTACATAAAATAGGCTGAACAAAATGAGGCCTTTTACACAACTCCAATTCACTCTACTGATATTGTCTGCCATTCTGACCTGACTAGACAAACAAACCTCTGTCATAGAGTAGCCTTAGAGTACCTGAGAACTTCTTAGGGCAGCCAAACCTGTGGAACAGCTGTCAGAGCTGAAGCCTAAACTCACTGATACTATCAAATGCCTTGGTAAAATCAACAAATTAATTTTTCAAGGTGTTCCTGAATTTGTTCCATGTCTGTTTTCCTGCACAGGTCATACCCACCAATGTAGCTGCAGCTTAAAACCACTCATTCATTTCTTCTTTCAGTTACTGAGTGCTCAGTTTGTGCCAGGCAGTGGGGATACACAGGCTGATATGGTTTAGCTGTGTCACCAACCAAATCTCGTCTTGAATTGTAGCTCCTATAATTCCCACGTGTTGTGGGAGGGACCCAGGGGGAGATGACTGAATCACGGGGGTGGTTTCCCCCATACTGTTCTCGTGGTAGTGGATAAGTCTCACGAGATCTGATGGTTTTATAAGGGGCTTCCCCTTTAGCTTGGCTCTCATTCTCTCTTGTCGGCCACCATGTAAGATGTGACTTTCACCTTCCACCATGATTGTGAGGCCTCCCCAGCCACATGGGACTGTGAGTCCATTAAGCCCCTTTTTCTTTAAATTACCCAGTCTC